GAGATACACATTAAGAGATACAAAGACATTTCAAGATGCTCTAAAGAACAATTTATTACAATTTATTGACCTTGGGTTCTTTAAAAATTTGACTTGTAAAACCTGGAGAAAAATTTCAGATGAAAGAAAAACCTACCTGTTACACATTTACAACAGGCTATAAAGCTGCAGTCATTTGCTATTAATTCATCAACAGCAAAGTAAGATATGCTGGAGGAATGAAATTTGAAGAGAAATAAATTAATTTACTTCAATGGAAACTTCTAAGGCTGTGCAAGTTCATATCCATACTCAAAGTTAAAATTTTATGCATGCAGAGATGATTTCACTTCCATTATATATTGCACGGTAAACAATGTGCCAGACTAAACACGTAAATTTAGTGCTCAGAAAAAAACATTTCAACAGCATCACATACAGTGTCTCACAGTAACTACACTTCGTGAACATGCAACATTATGTAGATTTTCAATTACATTACCTTCCATACTCGACTTCAATTTCAATACCGCACTTGAAACATTTGCACTCAGGGGTTTCACGTAGGTTTTCATACACTAATTTGGTGTCCAAAGCAGAAATTTTCAGGGAGTCTTTTTCAACTAGGTACATCCGTCTTTTGAAACATGTCTCACACATGTAAAAGTCCGGGCATAGGTTGCAATGGTAACTATGTTCAGTAACATCCGAGTCCATGATTCCTTTTCGACACACTGCACAACTCCTCTGAGTACTGCTTTCTTTTAACATTCTTACGAGCTTTTTTGGTATTTTATAAAGCCAATGCTGATGTTTCAGCCTGCCGGTACTAATTCTCTTTAATCTGTAATTACACGAAAGAAACGAAAACAAAAACAAGTTTTCCCCCTTCAAAAATTAAAAACGATGAAAAAATTAAAGTGACACTAGTGAACTCAGTCTTTTACCTTTTAGACGAACGCATTATTTAAGAATAGCCAGGGGTGTTAGAAAATCTTTCATCCAATAATCCTTTGTTAAGGTTGTTAAAAAATAATCCAGAGTTGGTGTGAAACTGAGTACAGATCTTAAAGCTTTCAAAGAAAATTCAGTATAATTCTCTTTGTCAACAATTTGAAGATTGGATACTCCATACAGAAGAGATAAAATTATCCAAAAAAAGGTTTTTGGACAAAGGAATAAGGAATCTCAGATTGAAATTAAACTCAGGGTTAGCGCCGATCGTTGAGGCGTGTTTTAGGACAGTCCGCCATCGCTGCAATTTGGCGTGGTTACAAAGCTAGTCTAGTCCCAGGCTACAGGAGTCAACCTCCCCTGGTGTGCTGGTCAGGCTTGACATATGTAGACCTACCAAGAGTTCGACATCCAAGCTCCAACGGCAGAACAGGTGGATGAGGACGCAACTTCCCGACGGCTGTGAAGGCGGAAGAGAGCGACACCCCGTGCCTCCGAAGAAGGTTTTTTAACCAGAGGTTAGGAGAAGGATGTAAAACCTACAGCTCCATAGTCGCCACAGCCGTCTCAGCCCGCTGAGCCACTGTGGAGTGTCCCTGGGCCTGAAGAGAGGGGGAGGGGGGGGGTAGCCTGCGCGTTCTGACCTCCACTTTAAAACTACTAAGCGCAGGCGGGAAGAAAAGTCCTACAACGATGGAGAAAGGGTGAAACGAAAAGTATTGGACGTACCGAGTCGCAGCTCCAACTCTGCATGTAGGCGGCGCACGATATTGGTCGCTTGCCCGTTCAAGAGGCAACAGCAGCATTCGCCAGCACCCTAAGCGACCAAGCGGCCCTTTCAAGGGACAGTGCTGCTTACTCAACACGGAGACAGGCCTAGACTGCTCAAACCCAGCTTGCCTCACACCCTACCTGGTTGGTTAGCCGCGGCCAAAGGGTTTCTCACAACAGTGGTAAGATGCGCTTTGCATAACGAGGGTCACTTACGGAGCACGGAGCAGGATACACCTCGTACTGGTCTGGCAAAAGTAAGGAGGATCGTCGCCTGTCCGAAGTAGGCTTCATGTTGAAGAATGCGCTGGCCAGCAAGCTGACCAGCCTCCCCATGGGACACTCGGATCGCCTCCTATGCCTCTGCCTTACCCTCCAGGGCAATTAATTCACCACCATCATCAGTGTATACGCTCCCACACTCATGGCAGACCTCGCGACCAAAGAGGCCTTCAAAAGCGACTCAGGGTCCTTCCTCTGGAAAATGGACAGCGGGGACAAGCTCATCATCATGGGCGACTTTAAGGCAAGATAGGGACGAGACCAATAACATTTTGCCTGTTAATACATAAAGTGAACAAAGATCTTATGTCGGGTATGCTTTCGCGATATCAGAACTGTTACATTCAAAAGGATTTGTGTCTGGCTCACTCACATTTTCCAACTGTGATCGAAGCAATGATGTGTGCTTTTTTAGTCTATTATTCGAATCGCATGATGATGCGGTGTTAATTTGAGGGCAGCGTTTGTTAATATTTCTGCTCTAAAATGTGGCGTTTATTAGAGGGCAGCGTTTATTCGAGGGCCGCATTTATTCCAGGGCGGCGTTTATTCAAATAAATACGGTAATACAACAATTAGGAAAAGCTTACGTAGTACTATTCTCCAAAGTTGACAAACGACCCCAAACGTTTGAATTGGTGAAGAATGTGATAGCCGATAGAACGATTTCGTTTTGGTTAATACAGTACGATATCGGGATTCTAATGACTTTTCGACGCAACAACAATTCATATCGTTCCCCTCACAGGACTGACTTGAGCTTTTTAGATGTAATGAGAATCCCGTCAGTTATTTGCGAGCAATCCTCTTCGCAATTTTTTTGTCAAAACGAGTAAGGAACTGATCAGAATGCCAGAAGAGTGCATACACGCTCCTCAATAATTTCCTGATATTTATTTTCTGCTTTACTGCGAGTATCACCGCGACCATATCTTCAGAAGTACCATCGCCAGGCAAGGGACGTCGCCTCCACAAATCTCTTCATTTGATATGATATTCGAATCTACGTCTCACTTTTTCAACTGCCACGAATGGATGTTTTAGTTTTGGAAGCAGCTCATTCCATTTTTTTCCAAGTAAACGATGTATAACACCTTGTCCTCACGTAGCGCTTTACCCATAGTTATATCACAGTTACTGCTTTCCTGTTCCATGAATAGGAACTTATCGCTTCCTCGACGAGCACCTCCTAAAATATTTCTGTAAAAGGAAAATTATCGGCTTAACCGGACGTTCGACACCTCTCTATGCGGCGAACAAATATCCCAACGCTCTTTTGTTGTGTTTAAGCAAAGAACAACGTTTTAAAAAGAACGAGAACAAACTTTTCGCTAGATACACAACTACTAACTTACTTAACAACGGAATATAATTCTACTGCCACTTACTCGGGTCCTATTTGCAATCAACATAACATCTTTGTTTGGTATTCCAAGTAGAAACCTTTCTGCGGAGTCTTGGTTTGCCCGATATCTGAGCTTATAAGACTTGCTCTTCCAAAAGAGTTGGTTTCGGTGTTTGAAGAAAAACTCGCACCACACCTTCTAGTCATTAGAACTAACTAGTGATCTCGCACTCTATTCAACACGTACAGCCTGTACGTGTTGAATAGAGTGCGAGATCACTAGTTAGTTCGGAAATTGACTTACTTGACATGTGCGTTTCGGAAACGCACATGTCACTCGTACTCTATTCGTCACGCACAGAAATGCACATGTCAAGTAGGATTGTTTCAAGTTTCGCATTATATTCGGTGCGCACAGAAAACGCACATGTTAAGGGGGATTGATTACAAGTTTCGAAATCTACTCGGCACGCACAGAAAATGCAGATGCTAAGGAAGACTGATTTCAAGTCTCGTGTCAAGTGAGAATGGCTTGTGACACTACTCGGTGTGTTCAGAAAACGCACATGTCTGTTAAGGTTGCATACAAGTCTTATTTATTCGGAACGCACAGAAAACGTGCATGTCAAATAAGATTGACTTCAAGTCTCGTACTCTATTGGGCGCTCACAGAAAGTGCACATGTTCGGTAAGATTTACCTCAAGTCTCGCATTCTATTCGGACTCGATACAGACAGAAGATTTGTGGGTTTTCTAACCTATTTTAAAATTCTCGCACTGGGAAGAACTTAACTTGAATCAGATAATTATAAACTCGCTCGTTTTCCGTTCGGTTTTTACCGGCTCGACGATAACGACGATAGCCTCTGCTTTTGCAATCTCTAAGGAAAGGAGCAACTTGTAAGAATATCACTCCCATCGACTATTTACAATCTATTGACAGTTTCTTGTGTCAAATTCTACTTCTTACATTTGTCTACATGTATATGCTTATATCATAAGATTACAAGATCAGCTTTTTACTGAGACTTACAATTTTGTGTAATTTTACAAAGTTCTGTTGTCAAACATTTAAAGTTATACAGAATATCAGTAACCCTGGAGTAATGATTGAAACCAAGGTATAATAATACTATACAAATACCACTACACATACAACAAACATTGTTTTTGGAGCTTGAACACCTTTTACAAGGGCTTCTTCAGCAAAAGCGAAAAATGATCACCAGCAGTTAGGTTAATTTGCAACATGACATTGTAGGTTAATAATTAACATGATTTGAGATTGCGGTTGTAACCCAACAAAACCAAACCTTTACATCAGACAGTGCTAAAAGAAATGTCTCAAGTCAATCAGAGCTTAGCTAATTGCTGGGTTGGGTAAAACTGTTTTGATTTTCATCATTATTGATACAAAAATAATTACAATCACTGCATGAATTTTTCAGTATTATTTTCTCACACAGTTTGTTTTTGGATCTCAAAACACTGTCACATTACGCTTTCCTTTTCCATTACCTCCCGGGACTGGCATAATCTTCTTGAGGATCTACTTTCACTTCCTATTTAAAAAAAAACAAAAACAAAGCAAAACCTACCCCCTCCCCTACCCCCTGTCATCAATGACAAAGGAGATTTTGAAACTACATCACTCAGCTGAAGAACCAAGATGGCTGCCCAGGTAAGGCCCGCATAAATGTTTCCTTCGTTCATGACAGACATAGAATTTTCTTTAAATTATCTTACCGCTTGACCTTTAAGTCAGTGTCTCAAAATTCATTTTATAATTTTATAGAGACTGTTGAGTCGCGTTGCATTCATGCACTACTTCCGTCTCAACTTCTGCGTGGATACATTAACATTTAAGTTAACATCTCTTTCCTTGTGATATCTACAACAGACATAATCGCAAGCGATGAATTTCAGCGGGAGACGTTTGCAGAATGCAAGCTTTTGACTGAGAGATATATTTTGGAATGCTGGATCAACAATGATAATTTTTTTTATGCGAGCGTCGCTTCCGAGAAAAGAGATACCAAATTTATATTAATTATGTACATAAGCTCACTATGTGCAACATATGTTAAATCGGAATACAATGATTTCATATTTTTGTATGACATTAATGTATGATGACTTAATGCATCCAGATTTTAGGTCGATTCACTTATGTTTTAAGATAGAAGTTTGTTAAAACTTTATATATATTTAACAAATAGATCCCAAGTTGCCGTGCATCTGTTCAGTAATAGATCCCAGATGACGTCAAAATGTGGTAAGAACAAAATGTTGGCACACGAGGTGCAGCTGAGAGTGTTACTGATGTTCTTACCACATTTTGACGTCATCTGTGATCTATTACTGAACAGATGCACAGCAACTTGGATTGCGTCTATGCGTCCATCTATGCGTCTGTCCTTCAATAGATCATAAGTGAGAACCAATCAGAATGCATACATAACTGAGCTTATTATATAAATCTATATATATATATATATTTTTTTTTTCATTTTTCTTTTCAAGTAAATCTTTAAATTGGATTAGATTTTGGCTATGTGGACATTAAAGACAGAAGTTGACCCCTTACACCTTTACATCAGTATGATTATTCTCCATGCAGTTCCCTATACATCTCATAAGCTGCTGACAAGGAGAATTTGTTTACCAATCAAGGGCTTCTTTAGTTGTTGATCATTTCCTTTATTCTCCTAACCTTAATGTTTGATTCAGGGCTGACACTGTGAAGAGAAATTAGGTGCTAGTCACTCTTAGAGTCAAAGGGTTGATTAACACAATTTCAGTTTTGGAGGAGATTGCAGTAAAACTATTGCAACTCTTCTAATTGTCTGGTATTGTTGTACATGTAGTTATATTGCTCATGAGGTACATGTCTTTCCTGAATGGAAATTTCACCCTGTGTCTTCCAAACATCAAAAAAGTGAACTTCTCAACAAAAACTGTGTTGTGCTTTTTGTTTTTTTATAGGTATCCTCACTTGATGTAATGAAATCTGCAGCAAGGAAGTTCATTGATTTTGTGAACAATGGCCCTTCACCTTATCATGGTATGTTTTATCTTTCTAGCTTCTTGAATTAATAATATGCACGAAAAAATCAGGTGCTTCTGATTGGCTGAAAATGAATGTATCCTCATGTAGTCATGAGTGCAAATTACATAGAGTACATACATGCTTTCAAAATTTAATCTGCCTTAACTTTCTGTGATGTTTTTCCATTTACTTTATTAACAAGTTATAACATGATTTCTCTTGCAATTTGGTGTAATAAGCCTTTGTAAATTTTTCAGAGACTATAAACTGCACTTGCCGTACAGGCTTATGCAATTTTGTTGTCTTTGAAAAATTTACCCATGCTTATTAACACCAAATTACACTCAAAATCATGTTTTTACCTGTATTAATTTTACAGTATATACAAAACTAGAGACTCTAGCCATTTCAGTATGAAACTCCTTACAATATCAAAACACCATTCAGTCCTAGGGTGAACAGCAACAACAACCTTAGGGACTGATGTGACTCAGAGCTTGAGAAACAAAGGAATTAAGTGAAATTTAATGATTTAGTGTTGAGTATGATATAGAATTATGGTAAAATCAAGCATGTGTCAATTAAAGATCACAATGTTATCATTGTTATACTGCTATTCTTTATAAGACAAGAGGTTGAGTGGTTAAATGTAAGTGTTGCATGACAATGAGGTGCTATGACAAAAGGGACAACTTAGCTTGTAGGGATCAATACTAGTTGACCTTCTTGTGGTGTGAATTGAGACGCATTAGCAAATAACTTCACTACCTGGTAAAGACAACAGAATCACCACAGTTGCATTTTGCCTTCATTATCTGATTGAGCCTGACTCTTTATAAACTAAGTTGTTTTGACAGAAAAGCTGTTATGTTTTGTTTCAGTTGTCAATGAGTGCAGAAAGGTGTTATCAGCAGCAGGATTTAAAGAGCTCAAGGAAAAAGAGCATTGGGATATCAAGCCTTCTGATAAGGTGAGAAATGAGAGTTGGTGCTTTATATTTAACTTTTTGAAAGGTTACAGTTTGGACACGACTCAAAATCACACAATGGTTACCAGAAATAAAAATTCTGTTCTCTGGGAAATCATATGGTGCACTTAAAATTTGCCACAGCTGTTTTCTTTGAAATGAGTAAGGAACTAGTCATTATATATGTAGAAAAGGGGTGGGGGGAGGGGTGGGGGAAGAAGAAGAGAAAATATATTTGGAAGATCAAAATCCCTTCCTTCCAGGCCATGTAAATGGCATGTGAGCCTCCTCCCTTATTAAATATTTACATGATAACCCCTCCCCCTGTCACCTCATATCTCCTCTTTTATGCCTATAATAACTATTAAATTGATGTCACATACAACTATATGATGATTAATTTACATAACACCCTCCTTGGGCAATGGACCACTTTTAAAATATATCTCAAACTGCTGACCCTCTCCCCAAGACTTCTTTAAAAAACGTTACACCACTACTTGCCAATCTGAAATAGTCTTAACCCCCCCCCCCCTCCTCTTTTATCTCCCTCCTTCTTCACAAATAACAACTGGTCAACTGCCAGGTGTCTTTGTAGGATCAGGCAACCTTTCTAGACTTGATACTTGGACAAGTAGGGAAACAGAACTTACTGAAATATTTTGTAAAAGAAAATATCAAACCATTGCAAATGTATGACTTGATGTTATAAATACAATGTAGTAATTTAACACAGACCATCAACGTAGGAACTTACATTGCAAATTTATTGCCAATTTTTTCAGCCATGGTGACCAAAACAGTTTAAGCTTGGCCATGCAGGAGCACAAATCCTTCCTTGTTTAAGACCTTGCCTGCATCATTGACCCATCTTTCATGTTCACTTGTTATTTCTTTGCTCCATTTAGTATTTTGTGACCAGAAACCAGTCAACAGTCATTGCATTTGCTGTTGGTGGAAAGTATGTTCCTGGAAATGGTTTCAGCATTGTAGGAGCTCATACTGATAGCCCCTGTCTCAAGGTACACAAGAAAAAGTCTTCTCATTAAAAGTTGCCACTGTAAAAATCATTCATTTATTTAATATTTATTATTTTAATAATGCAAGAGGTCAGAAGTCACATTACTTCAAAGACTTGTAGTAATACCATTATGGTTTAAGTATTGCATTTATTTGAAAATGTTCAAAACACATAGGGAGGTTAAATTTGGTTTTAAATTTGTCCAAATCAAAAATTTAAGAAACTAACAGCTTTTTTAAACCTACAATAAATCATAAAAAAAATCAGTACTTAGTTAACCCTTCAACTCCCAGATCAAATTTGTAATTCTCCTTACTGTCAACCATACAATTCTTATAATGTTAGTTCAAAGAACTTACTATAATTGTATCCCCAAATTGATATTTTTCTTTATTCTCGTCACTTATCTGAAGAAGAAATTCTGTCTTGGTCACTCATGGTAGTTAAAGGGTTAAGAAATAAGGTTCCTTTTTTTTTCAATGAGAAGTGAAGGAACAGGAGGCTAGGGAATGGTAACATGGCAATGCTTTCAATCTGCACTTGAAAAAAATTGTAGCTGAGCTAGATCATCAAAATTTAGTTGGACAATCTGTGTAGTGGCAGTAGATTTCTCCAATCTTCGATGCCTTTATGAAAAGGGTAATTAGGTGTTATCAACTGAGCTTATATTGTAAATTAGCCACCATAAAGAGTTTAGCTCTTTGTCAATCACTCCGACAAAAGGCTAATGCTCAAAATGTCCAGCTTTAAAACTCTTTATAGCGGCCAATTTACGTTATCAACTCAGTTGATAATACTTGATTTGCTGTTATACTCTCCCACCAATGTATAGCTTTCTTCAGAAACTTACCCTCTTTATTCATTTTCCTTAATGAAAACACTGTCCAGTGTTAGAGATGTTGAGAAAGATATAAGTGGATTGGTTGAGAGAGGAGCAGATCAGAAAGCAGAGAAAATAACTCTGGCACATAATTTTTTAACACACTTAATATTGGAACAGGTGAAGCCAAATTCAAAGAAGAGCAGCAACGGATATCAACAAGTTGGGGTGGAATGTTATGGAGGAGGAATCTGGGCCACTTGGTTTGACAGGGATTTGAAATTGGCTGGCAGAATTATGATTAAGGTACTATACTGCAGCATTTACTTCCAACATTAGATTCTGCCTTGAGACATCACTTAAAAGAGAAAATATAGAAAAACAAAGAATCTTTTTGTGCATTGCTTGCATATTATACAAGTTTCAATAAAATTGGTGATGATAATGTTACATTGAATACAAACTGAATTGGACTCCACCTGATCATATTAACATTATTATTTCCTATTTCTTCCTTGTTTGAATTGATCATGCAACAGAAAGGTGATAAATTGCAGCACCATTTAGTTCACATTGACAGACCAATCATGCGTATTCCACATCTGGCAATTCATCTGCAGCGTGACATCAATGACAAGTTCTCACCAAATAAAGAAACTCACATGTAAGTAACTTAATTCAGGGCCACAGAAAGCCCAAGTTCAGTGCAGGAGTATCTGAATAACGTTGTTGTAACATAGACAATGCTAAATGAGCACAGATTCTAGTGGCAGAAAAAAGTGATAGTTTTAAGATTAGCCAAAGACTGTGATTTGAGAAACAGTCCATCAAACAGATCTGCTGATCAATGGTTTTCTTTGTTTATTAAAAAGGAAAAGCTTTATATTGTAGAATTATTGTAAATACGTTTACTTGATGAGCTGATGTGGTCATGAACACAGAGTCATGGGGTGCATGATCAGTAGATTAATTAATATCTGAACAAACTTAAGCAAGTTGTCTTTCTCTTTTTCTAGAGCACCTATTTTATCAACTTGTGTATATGAAAGTTTGGTGAATAATTCAGCCATTGAAGATGACATCAGTGACACAGAACCCAAGGAAAAAAAATGTAGGGTGAGTAATTATCCATTTATGATGTACAGTTAATGGTTTCAACCTGGGAATTGCAATACACTTTCTGATGATGTCTTCTGTTCAGGTTGCAAATATGTAATTCATTGTTACCAACAACAATTCTTTCCTGGGTCAACAATCGCACTACATGATTGATTGTATTACACCTTGTAAGATATAAATTCATTCATTACATATTTGTTTCTTTATTTACTTAATTATGGCACTGAATTTACTAATTTATTTTTATAGAGCAATTCTCATCAGTCAACTCTAATCAAACTCTTAACAGAGGAGTTGAAATGTGAACAAGAACAAATCATGGACTTTGACTTGCACCTGGCTGACAGCCAGCCTGCTGTGAGTATCAATTTCTGATCATGTCATCATTCATGTGCAATAAGTTTAAAAGATCGCATGCTAAAAGCCTCTTTACAGCTAAGAGTGCATGACTAGCATCTAATTTCTCCTTACAATATGACCCCTGAATCACACAATGAGGTCACAAGTTGGAAATGATCACCAACTAAAGAAAATCCTGATTGTCAAACAAATTCTCTTTGTCAGCACCTTACAAAATGTATGGAGAACAGTATGGAGAATTTAAGGGTGCAGAGGGTTAGAATTATATTTATACTTTACCTCCAGGGGGTCCTTCTCTTGTAAATTCTGTTTTACATATACAAGTCAACCTGTTTAGTGTCATGTATCATCTCTTTTAAAATGCTAAGTAAACAGAAACATTCACTTGGTAATGACAATGTCAGAAGTCATTTCTACTAAACTAAACTACCTAATTTTCAAAGAGATTAATATCAGTATAATGGAACATTAATAGCTCAGATCTTGGGTGTCAAAGGATTTGGCTTTTCATTCATGGGGAAAACATTGTACTAAATGACTCACATTCCAAAGAATAGCAAATTACTGGCTGTTATTTCCCTTTCAATTGGGTAAAGCCAGGGGGTCCTCTGGTTTGCCCATTACACCCCTTTAGTTGGAATAAGCCAACAACATATAAACCTTAAAATTCAGGTTTGAAAATGGGCTAATGCAAAGAATTCACATGACATAAATGCTTACCACTGCCAGTTACTCCATTTGCCAATCCTCACTGTATGTCAATACAAGATGGTATGAGCCCCTTCACTTAAGGAATTTTTAACATTAAATATTAATCCCCTTATTCCTTGTGGTAAATTGTATAAGCCACACCCCTGATTTTGCATTTCAACCATACTTTATTTAGGCTCTCTTTAATTAATCTATTTTATTTTTTCTCTCTTAGACTTTTGGTGGTGCACTGGAAGAGTTTATTTTTTCACCAAGATTGGACAACCAAGTCAGCTGTTTTTGTGCTTTACAGGTAGAGTGAGTCTTTGATTTAGAGCTACAAGGAGAGAATATTCCTTTCAGAAAACCAAAACCATTTGTCAATTCTGAAATAATGATCCATGTTCTTGTATGTGTATGTTCAGGTGCTTCAACCTGGCTTTGTTAATTTTAAACACCAGTTCTTTGGTAGATATATACCACCACCTTTTTCCAAGTGTTCCCTTAAAAATCTTGGTATGCTTTTGTACATTCCTTAGTCAAAGTTGTGCATACCAGTAAGTTACAATCCATCAAAGAATTGGTGTTTAACATAGCAAAGATCATTCTGAGCCATCCTAATTTCAAGCTTGAGTTGTTTTCATTGACAATGTTGTACTCCTTAACTTTTAGGGCCTTATTCAATCTCTGGAAGGTCCATCTTTGGCATCAGATCCCAACATCCGAATAATAACTTTGTATGACAATGAAGAGGTACATAATAAGTCAAGTACATGTTTATGACATCAAAGACAACTGATCCAATGCCAGTTAATCAATCTAGTTTTTAGTAACTTCCATCAATGCATATTCAGTGTACTGTAAACTAATTTACTAAAACATCCTGATGACAGGTTGGTTCTGGGAGTGCCCAAGGAGCAGAGTCAATGCTCACAGAGCACATTCTGCGTCGTTTGTCAGCAGGTCAGTTGTTCTCAATTTTATTTCATTGATTTTATATGATATATGAACCTTGTAGTGGCCTAGCATACTGTAGATTCTCAGTGGCTCAGTGATAGAGCATTGCAGCTTTTAATGCTATGATTTTCTGGCTTGAAACCTAGGTGGGAGAGCTACAAGTTTTGAAGAAGCAATTCCTAAGTCATTTCTTCTCAGTGCTGACCAAGCCCATGCAGTGCATCCAAACTATTCGTATGTATCCTTAACTTGAAAGCTTTCAAACCCTCAACATCAATATGCATATTCTCCATTCTGTTCTCTATACATTCCCTAAGGGGCTGGGAAGGAGAATTTGTTCAGCAATCAAGAGTTTCTTTCATTAGTGATCATTTCCTAATTATTCTTGTGGCCCTAAAGTTTGATTTAGGGGTTATACCATAGGGAGAAATGAGATGCTGATCAGTCATGGGCATCAAAGTGGTTAAAACCTCTTGCAATGTGTTATGTTTGACTTACACATGAGTTTTCAGATAGCGTGGTTAGTTGGCAAATATAGGTTAATATGGATGATAGCCCTGTAAGCTGTTTTATTATAATTTGCTTTTGGATGTTGTTGAATAAAAAAACTTATCTCATCAGCCGTTACTTCAGTAGTTGAGTGAAAACTTCTAGACTTAATCAGGTGATAGGTCAGCATTTTGGGTCGGGTATGAACAACTGGTTTTTCTTCTTTTCTGTTGTAGAGAAAAACATGAAGAGAACCATAAACCTGCTCTCCACAAGGTGAGGCCTTGACAAACAGAACTCTTAATAATTAAAATACTTGAGATAGTAGTCACCTGCTCTCATTGGTTGATTGGTGTGTTTGGAGGAGAGTATTTAGATACAGTTATGATGTCATACTCTCTATGCTTTCGGAGAAATATTTTATGAAACCAATAGATAACTTTTTTCCCTGTTTTATTAGCCTCATCTAAACACTTTGTGGTTGGGGATGATTTGAGAAAATTGAGCTGACCCTGAACTACATCTTGAGCTTGCATGACTTTCTCAAATTCCCTCAACAACCCTTGTGTTTAGGAGTGAGAAACTTTTCTGCAGATTAGTCAGTCAGGAATAGAAGGTTTGGTTTCTGCAGGAATCGAAAGCTGTGGTGTCTTCTTAAGGGAAAGTATTTTTGCTCTTTTTCCTTAAATCAATTAAATCTTGGACACATTATTTAAATGTTCAACATCCTTTCTTCCTTCACACTGACATGGCAATGTTAAAACACCAATTCAGGGGTGTGACCTGGTGGATTTTGAACTTCACATTGTGGTAAATCCTGTACAATTTATTTATTTTTGTAGTTTTTTTTTTAGGGTCCAGTAATTAAAATTAACAGTAACCAACGATATGCAACAACAGCCCTGTCCTCAAGCATTTTAAGGGTGATTGCAGAGAAGAGTGAAGTTCCACTGCAGGTAAAAGTTCTGGGGTGTGTTAGATAAAAAATGGTGACAACTAGTTACCTTTGCTTGAACTTCTGCAATTACTGAGCAGTAGTTTTAATTCCATCGTATTATTTTATCACAGGAAGTGTGTGTGCGAAATGATTCTCCATGTGGAACCACTATAGGCCCCATCCTGTCTGCCAAGCTTGGTTTATTAACCTTAGGTAATTGAATTTAGCTGTGTGCAAATACCAGCGATGTACAAATATATGTTATCCACTCAACACAAGAGTAAAAAGTTGGTTACCAGCATTCCATGGTCAGATATAGGACATCTCACTGCCGTCTGTTTAGCCTGTGAGCAGGCTCTTGTGTTTGGGTTACACCATCGGCAGCCACTAATTGGAAAAGTTGTTGAAACTGCTGCTGAACTACTATTTTTCTGATAGGGATGTACATTGGTGTAAGCCAGACTGTGCTGTTCGATAATTTCAAGAGTTCTTTGCTCCCAGACTCCTTTTTGTTTTCTGTCATACAGCTCTACCATTACAATATCTAAGAATTTCGGATGTTATGAATTGTTTCAGGCATCTAAACATCACTGTCAGAAGTGATATAGACAATTTCCTAATAGTCATGCATTCTCAAAGAAGCATGAAAATTTGGTGAATAATCAGAACTTTTGAGACCAAGGAAAAGTATGAAGAGTGAAATAAGAAGTCCTTAAAAAAATTGGGATGAAGCCAGAAGTTCTAACCGAGGAAAGCAAGTGCGTTATTACTGATTGAGATTAAGCTAAATATCTGGAAGTGAATGGTAAATGGTAAATTGCAAACTTTATTTATGATCTGTTTTTAGACCTTGGCGGTCCCCAGCTAGCTATGCACTCCATCCGAGAAATGTGCTGCTCCTCTATTGTACATCAAGAGACACTGCTATTCAAGGTGACAATTTCTTTGCTTAGTAAGGCATTTATAAGCTGGCGTTACATGATCTGTTACGCAACGCTATCTTACATTAGGGCGAGGTTGCACGTGATGGTTTCTGTCATGTCGCCCAAAAAACGTCTCGCCTGAAGTGGCGAAGTCGCCCGGAACCTGAGTCACGTCGCCTGAAATAAATAGTCATGTTGCCCGATTTTTTATCACTTGTAAAAACATCAAAATGGCATATTTGTTAGAAACCGCTGAAGGTACCGATCGATTGAAACACTCTTCTGGTGTATTTAGTTTCGTTACCAATCCTTCAATAGTGAAATGTCACTGTAAATAACAACGTTTATTTAATTCAACCTATAATCTGGAAGAGTATCACGACAGCGTTAAACTGTTATTGTAGTCACATTAAAATGTCTTTGTGTTCAATTTGTTTCATCGACTAAACGAATCGATACAAATCGTGTGGGGAAGCAAAGCATATAAGCGATGCAAACGAATGAATCACGTTGTCCTAAACAAAGAAAATCATTGCAGGCCTGAACTAAAATTCAGCAGACGTAAACTAAACCTGAACTGACGGAAAATAATTCACTAAGCCCAAAAAATATAAAATGCAAAATAAAACCTAACATGAAATTATAAAGCACACAGCATCGCCAATCTACCCGTTTTCTTATGGTAGCCAAGTGGTGTGTTCTTTGGATTAATAAAATGCTCCTAAGGAGCGCAATCGTCGCACTGTACGACCTGTTGGCGTGGTCTGAATACATTACCTTCGTTACTTATTTTGTTATTGTGAAGAAGGTCACAAATAGACATAATAGCAATTGATTTGTATGTTACGAGCTTGCCCTTTTACTCACTTGTCAGAGGCGAAAATCGACATTTGTTTACCGGGGTTTTGACCATATCTGAGTGAATGGGCGGGTGCGAATCTACCAGGGGGTTGACTAGTGAGCAAAGTGATTCTCCTCAGCAATAAATTGTGAGTCTTGGTTTTTTTTCTTTTGCAGAGTTTCTTTGAGACACTTCCAACAGTACTGGATTCCGTAGTAGGAGCTGACTAAAGTCAAGCCAATGGCATTCCTGAGCTTCTTTTGCTTGAATCCTTTCTCTGCTTCAATGATTTTTTGCTTGAAAAGAAATGTAGGTTCAACTCAGCAAAGCATACAAGACACTTTGTCAAAAGAAAAGGGACATAATCCGAACATAATCAATGAGAAAATCTTGTAACAAGAAGAGGGGTTGAAGACGGAAGCACTGAATTCCGTAGTAGGAGCTGACTAAAGTCAAGCCAATGACATTCCTGAGCTTCTTTTGCTTGAATCCTTTCTCTCCTTCAACGATTTTTGCTGAGAACCATTATAGGTTCAACTCAGCAAAACAAACAAGACAGTCATAAGAAAAGGGACAAAATCCGAGCACAATCAACGAAAAAATCTTGTAACAAGAGGAGGGGTTGAAGACGGAAGCACGTAAACAAGAGATACTTTACAAACAGAGTACTCTGAGAACTTTCTCATTTATTGAATTGTCTATTATAATCAGGCAGGACATGTACAGGCATAGAAGGGTGGTTCTTGGAGCTGTGTCCCTTGTTTTGCATTTACAACTTCTAAAATAAGAATGACGAAAAGCACGTGACAAGCACGCAGAAATTAGCACGCTAAGCACAATAAATTTTTGCATTACTCTTCTCATTCAATCCAGCTGCTGAATTTCTACCGACAAAGTTTCTTGAAACTGTAAGTATATATTGATAATATTTATCGTGTTCGTTTTGTGTTAAGTTGCTGATGCGAAGGGTGTCTACACACCAAAGACCAAAGACCAAAGACCTAAAACCAAATACCTCCGGAAGACCCAGATGTAATATTATAATATTTTCTTTATAATATTTCCTTTATTTCAGCACACGAAATCAGTTGAAGTAACATCCTCTGGTCAAAAAAAACAATTCAAGGTCGAGATTTCTGTTGAACATTTGAGAACCAGTAATTCCAACCAAAGTTGACCCAAACCGGTTGAATTATTTCTCTATTCACTGATTTCTTTGACGCGCACGGCGAATGAAATCAAACTTAAGGTTTCTTTAATATCTTGAGAGGTTGCTTTGTGGGAAAATTCATGCCAAATCTAATATATCTTAGAGAACAGAGCCGATAGTAATCTTTTAGACAGTTAAATTTGTCACGAAAGCCTGAGGATACAGCCAACTCGTATGTAGAGAAGTGAGTACAGCGACGAATAAAATAAAAACGAAAACGAATGCCGGAAGTGAGTCTTCCGTGACTCTTAGAAGCTTTCGGAGAAATCTCACGAACTGCAACCGAGAACATCACTGGATTTACTTAAATTCTTTCAGTAGCTCCTCATCTTTTTAAAACACGCAAATGTTCATCTTAAAACTAGTTTTAAGCGTTTATTCTAAGCATCGCCGAACAAAAACTGAAAAAAGAATTCGATTTTAGGCGAAAACTCAACGGTACTGACTTGAGTCCCACTAGCCTTTCAAGCGCTGTTACAACGCGCTTCCATTTCAACTTTGTAGTTGGCAACCCATCAAATATCAATTTGTAATTACGCGTTTCAAGCGGCGCCTAAGAAAATAAATATTTGAAGGTGACCTTTCAGAAGAAACACAATCTCCTGCGAAATGTCTCGTCTCGAAGCGGACTTCCCGTGTGGTAAATCGTCATCGGTCTGTATCAGGTGATCGTACTTTTAAAGTTGTAATCAGCGTTGTAAATATCCTCTGATGAAGCTGCGTAACCTTAGCAACAGACACTGACACACTGACACACGCAACAGTATAGCAAACTTAGTCTTCTCCACAGGAAGCCTAAGTAATGAGGAACATTTGGTACGATAATTTAGATGAACTCATCAAAGAAGAATGCCGCGCGAAAAACGGCTCTCTATAAAAGAGAATTTAACTTCCAAGCGGTTTTATGGTTATCAATTGGAAGATAGCCTTAGCGCCCGCGCTATGTGGACATTTACAGTCAAACCGGATTTTCTTTTGATGGTAACCTGAGGTGCTTTCGATTGAGAAATCTTGGTGAAATTAGATTTTGAAATGAGGATTTTAGGATTTTTCAATAGAACATGAAATCTAAAAACGGATCTCGATACGATGACGAGAAATCCTTCCTCAAGGTGGATTTCAGTAAACTAGCAAACGTTGGTAATTTGTTGATGCCAGTTTGAGTGGAGCCAGCTGCAACCGGCACGAACAAGTTGCAACGTGCGCGAGCAAGTTACTTAGTTCATCTCGTGCCTCGTGGCTTCCAGTTATTGTGATTTCCATAACTCAATTGATACCGTGGCGCTTATTGAAAATTCCGGGCAAAAAGAAAGACGCTTATCGGAAGGAAGGCGCTTAGTAGGTAAGCGCAGCAATAGGACAAACATTAAAAGAAACAGGCAACACACATAAAGGAACTGTACAAGCATAAGGAGAGAGACGCAACTGGAAGTGATTCAACGGAAAAGATACTATTTACTCGTACTGATTCCGCTGTACTTGAAACTTAAAAAGTTAAAGATCAAGTGGCAGTGGAAACAGGTTTTCCTAGTATCCCGACGAAAATTTAAGAGAATGAGGGAGGAGGGGGTGCCTATTGGAGAAGGGCGCTTGTTTGAGCGTGGGCGCCTATTCGAGGAAATACGGTTCACTGCTGAGTTTTATCATGGTAAGGAAACGACAATGACTTGCAGGAAACATTGCGTTACATGCCTTACAATGAAAAAAAAGCCAGTTTAAATTTGATCAAATGTGACTGACCTAGACGCTTCGCTTGCACGGTGATCGTTTCTTACTTTTTTAGTGAAATTTCTTTTTCAACTTTTGGCATGCTTTATGAGCAAAAAGGAAATGGCTTCAGTTTTTTAGTTGTCAAGGTGATCCAATTTTTCTGATGTTATTAACTTAGGCCAGCAATTTCTCTGACTTCAGAAAGCAATCAATTTTATTTGTCCTCGACAAGTCAACATTGGACGCTGTAGTAATCGCCTCAGTCTCTTATTGAACTCACTTTTAACGTTTTGTTTATCGCAGAGGGGATACTAAAAATGCCAGCGTTTACATTAAGTTATCGAACCTCGCTCCCAGGGTCCTCTCTCGAGAAAGTTCCTCACGTGTCTCCCAATGGAAATTTAAAAAACGAAAAATGAACATTGGGGCTCATGCATTAAATTTTTTGTCAAAACAGACTTGAGGGTACGGCAAAATTTGCTTTAATGAATAAATAAAACAATATTTTTGCGCTCAATCGACTTGGTCGATTCGTTGAGGCATTCAATCAATATACAATTGCAATAGCCTGTAAATTTGACGTAATAAATACAATATCTGCAGTGGATATTGCATTTATCAATTCGAGTTCAAAGTCTGCCCAGTTACCAATTCCCTCTTCGTGTAGTGTTCTCTTACATTTATCTCTTAAATTATCAGTTCATCAGTTCATCTCTTATAAATTATCGACCTTGATTATTCTGGATATCACAAAAACCTCATCCAATAGTTGTTTACAATAAACTGGCCCCGGTTATTCGAAAATTGGACGACACTGTCCACTGGATAAATCTCTATCCGGTGGATAACGCAGTACGTTTTACAATCACTTATCCACTGGATAGCGATTTATCCATTGGATAGCTTTATCCGCCCCTTGAGGAACTGGGCCCTAGTCTTTGGGGGTACGTCACGCAACATTGGAAGGTGATGGCAAAAGATTAAAGTTCTCACCACTTAATTGAATAACTAAGACATACCATGCGGTAGCCAACTAGAAAAGCTCTTGAAAGAAAAATTTTCCCTGTTATTACCACTGGAAATGTTTAACGAACATCACGGAGAATATGCATACTGATGTAAGAAAGTAAACTGGTTAAATAACATATCATGTCTCAGCCAACACCCTGATTATCTCTCTCTGCCTAATCATTTCTTTTTTGTCAAAACCACTGTCATTTTTAGCAAAATCAGAGCGCGAACTGTTATTCCAGCTGCGCTTTCGTCCAAGTCAAAGCCCGTTAGCCAAAACCATGTGAGAATCTGTGAGGCTCAACAACCTCAGTAACATAAGAACTCCTACGCTCGCGACAGTACACGGTGAAAAAAAGACTTTGTTCATCACATTAACATGGGTTCTGTGACTTTTTTGTGGACGCTCACTCCAGTAGATGGAGAACTCTACCAATTATAAATTATCAAGCTAAATATAGTTAATTAGAAAAAATCAAATCATTAGGATGGTGGAAAATTGTTCAAAATCGAATTTACCGTGACTATAGCCCTTCTTGGTGGAATTTCTCACGTTTTCCCACGTCAATTCTTTGGCCTCTTATCTGAAGCCGCCCTTGCCAACAAGTAACATTGTACCACCCACCCAATAATCTAGCTTCAATTAGCATGACATGACAGCTGTCAATCTATTTGACTTGCCGTCTGAGTGAAATGCATCAAAAGCTGGGAGAGCCAAGTCCAAACTTACCCTTAGAAAATAAAAGTAACAATTTCTTTCTTCCTTCGAAGATGAAGATGGAATACAATAAAGAGCAGCTTAACTACTTCAGGATCTGTTACATTGTGACTAAGATACTGACCACGGGTCTCCGAATAATCTTCAAGCAAGAATGGGACAGTCGCTATGGTACGACACGGTCAGGGGAATGGAAAGATGAGCCAAAAAATGGAATGGACTTTCGAAACAAGGAGTCTCCTCGGAACCAAAGGAAACATGCCCATCTCCATATAACCATGACAGGTGGAAACAGAGCAGAGTGGGATTGTACAATGCTTTTCTACGCCATACTTTATTCTGATTGTATTCACGGCCTTAATCCAGTTGTCAGATCAAATGTCGATACCCTTAGAAAATTTCGAAATGAAGACTTTGCGCACATATCAGATGGAAATCTCCCAGACGTGCAGTTTCGAAAAGTCATCGGAAAAGTTCACGCTGCCTTCGAAGTACTCGGCCTCTCCACTTTGGAGGTTCAAGAAATTGAGAATCAGAAAAGTTTTCCCACAGAAGAGTTGACACTTGTTTTTCAATCTCCAATTGCTTATCACAACACAAGACACTGCAGCTATCCCTACCACGAGCTCTTTTATTCAAAACATCGCAGTGAGCAAGGGAATGAAGCCATCTGATGCCTGTTGCTTGTTGGAGAAGCTCTCTGGAATCAAGGACAGTAAGATGGAGATAAATGTTGCCGAAGCGTTAGACTACCAGCCTCTTGCCTTAGCAAGCGCTGCCACTTACATCAGAGAGGTTCGAAAGATGTCGAGTTTTGGTTGGAATGACTACCTAACGGAATTGAAGAATGGCCGACGAAGTACCACTGAGATCTTTCTCGCTGAAACCAACCCATGCTATCCAAAGTCCATGACCACAGCAACAACACTGGCCGTAGAAAAAGCCATGGCAACCGACAAAGTTATTCATCACGCCTTTAATTTCCTCTCAATTTGTGCACCCCAGCCATTAGTTCTTAACATCATCGTGGACTACATCATAGGCATGGCTAAGGAAATTGAAGACAAAGAGATTCGTTTGAAGATACAAAGGTGCTCATTGCTTGTCTTTAAGAGAGAGGAAAGAGAATTCTACATTCGTGTTCATCAGGTTGTGCACAGCGCCATTAAAACTGTGACTGAGGCTTATTCCAATGACAAGAACAACGAGGTCGTCAACGGCGTTTTTGGATCGTTCAAAAGTCTGGTAAAACATTTCCTTTCAAAGAGTAACGACGATCTACATGCTCTTGTAAACGGCAGGCATGTCATTCCCCATTTGAGACCTCTAGCTGCAAACCTTGAAAGGAATTTCCCTCAACAGATCATCTCTCAGGTCGACAAAAGCGAGTTTTTAATCATGGATTATCCTCATGACTTTCGAGCATTCGGCAAGTTTTCCTATCGCCATTCTGAATTCGAAGCAGCAAGAAGTTATTTCAATCTGGCATTAAACTTGTTCAACGTGTTTCAGCCAGATGCTGTCTTAGCTATTGCAGCTACTCACAATAAATTAGGTAGTGCAAACAGTAAACTGGGCGAACTAGCAAAGGCGGCACATCATTATAATCGTGCATTGACCATCTACATGGAGAGATTTGGACCAGAGCATAATGGCGTCGCGAAGTCTTGCAACAACGTTGGTTCTGTCCACGACGAACTTGGAGACTTGGAAAAAGCAAAAGGTTACTTTCACCGTGCACTGGACATTCGTCTGAAAAACTACAGAGTAAATCACCTGAAACTTACCACTACTTATAATCACATGGGAAATGTACATAAAAAGCTGGGTGACCTGAAGCAAGCAGAACATTATCATAATTACGCACTGTCCATTAGGCTGAAAGAGCTCGGGCCGGAGCATGTTGATGTCGCCATTTCTTGTAATAACCCGGGTCGGGTACACCATAACCAGGGTAACCTATCGAAGGCAAGAGACTACTATAATCGTGCACGGGCCATATTTTTGAAAAAGCTTGGACCTGACCATGTTCATATGGCAACTACTTACAGCAACCTCGGTCAGGTGCACCGTGAGCTCGGCAACCTGGGTCGAGTACACCATAAACAGGGTCACCTAAAGAAGGCAAGAGATTACGATAATCGTGCACGGGCCATATTTTTGAAAAAGCTTGGACCTGACCATGTTCATGTGGTAACTACTTACAGCAGTCTGAGTCAGGTACACCGTGAGCTCGGTAACCTGGATCGTGCAGAAGATTATTATCATCGTGCATTCGTCAAAGAATTGAGCTCAGATCTGGGCATGTTGACGTTGCAAACTTTCATAATAACCTGAACGCCCCTACTGAAAGAGTCTAGAGGACTGGATGGCCTGAATCTTGGAAAAGACTACGGTGACTGTGCGCTGGCATCTCACCTAAAAGCAGGAGGTCGAACCTGATCCAAAGATTTATATCGCATGCAACTCCGAAGATTAACCTCGCATCAAAGCAGAGGAGCTGCGAAAGCGTGTTGGTTTTCTGTTGAACCACGTTCTGTCATCAAAAAATTCACGTCTGCCGAGGATTTAGTTACCTCAGCGTGAAGTTATTCAAAAATGAAAAATGCCTGTTTTCTCACAGGCGTCCTATCCTCACGTCTCGAGAAGAAAGGGAAAGATTATTCTTGGACATGTTATTATTTATTCGCGGTAGCGTTTACGGTGGCGGCCTCAGTGCTATGGAACGGTTTTCCTTTGACAAGGAGGCAGGCAAAAAAACGTTGATTCTTTTAAACGTTTACTTAAGACTATTTGTTTCCCAAGGCATTTTGTTGAGATTTTTTAGGTATATTTTTTAAGAACACATGTATATATTTATTTATATAGTTTTATTAAGGTATTATTATATTTATTATTATTATTGAAATAAGCATTTGATAAATTACGTTTAAAGAAAAGGCGCTCTATAAATAATAAATGCTGTTGTTGTTGTTTTTGAAGGTTGCGCGAGAGGAACCGTTGAGAATTTGAACCCACTATAAGGAATAATATGGGGAACTAAATATGGTCGATTTACAACGCTAAATATCCGGAAATATGAACTTTTTACTGGTTAAGTTTATATAACTTACTCACTCCTTGTGTGTCCACACAGTTTTTCCTGTCATGAGCACTTAAGCGATTATTATAGAACAAAAGAATTTGATATTCTATTGTTAGAGAAACATGAAATTCGAAAACGGATTAACAAGAAACTTTAATATAATATTCGTTATCCAAAGTTCACATTACGAGCCCTTTCTCGTATTTAATACCCACCACTTACAAAAATCACGCCAAAACAGATTAATTAAGAGACAGTGGATGCTAACTCATGTCAAATCTCAGTGAAAATTTAACTCTTTTAAGTAGAAGTCATTAAAAACATACATGTACAGAAATGTACAAAAGTTCTCGAAAAACTCAAGGAACATTAAGGATTGACATTGAAGACATTGAACTGCGCTTGTATAGTTCAAATCCTTAAGCTCTTGTGTTAAAATAATGTGTAAAGTAATTAATTCACCTTTTGGGCTTTAGATTTCACGTGTAGTGTCATGTGACTTTTGATGTAAACAAACCCCGAAAGTTCCGACATTGAGTCGAGCTCGCAACACATGTGTTCAAACTTCGGCTTTGGAAATTTTTCTTAAATAACTGCCCACTTTCAAGAAACGTCTCTTCGCTCAAAATTGGCATCTTTCTTTTATCATTTATTTGATCGTGTGTCAAGCAAGTTGTCATTTCGCTGCCGTTGAAGCAGATGCGAAGAATGTTACAGGAAGCGTTGCGGCATGGAATAATCGAACTACTTCTGCGTACAGTGATGTATCTGATCAGGTATTTTCGGGGTGTTAAGTGCGTAGATTGTTAAATAAAATCACTTCTGTCAGGAAATTAGTGCCCACGAATCGCTGTAGAACGTGAGGAAGCCTGAATTCCCACACGGAATTACGTATCTGGGTGTGGATTTCCTTAGCTGATAAATGTACCGATTTTTTTAACCTTAAGTAACGCAAGTGGGAAATTCTGCGAAACTCAGAACAACCTTCAAAAAAAGTTAAATTTAAGAATGGCAGATCACAAAGTTTAAGCTGATTTAAACGCAATGAGTGAGGCAGAGCTTAAAAAATATCTGCAAGAACGGGGGATTTTAGCGAGCGGATACTTGAAAACCTCGTTCGTGGAAATCACCTCCGCAGTCCAAAAAGTGGTTCTGCCAGTGGATCCAAATTTCGAAAAGGCGACACCACTGCTTTAGACAGATTAATAACTCATGGTATGCTAATACCCAATCCTTTTTTCCTAAAGACTGTTAACAATTTTAACGCGTCGCAGCCGTTTGGCTCGTACGACATTTTTAATTATTTGATTTGCTCTCCTGAACTCATCGCTGGCTCTACGCTCAGATTTAAAAGGGCTTTGGCTACTGCGTATTCCTCTGTCGATTTACCAGTTTGACGATCAAGTGTCCGAAGGGTTTTAGCCAAGACAAACTTTCTTGCATCTCTCTTTGTCTAATTCTCGTTCGCAAGGTGCCTTCCGTTTACGAATGAGTCGTGACACCTAGGCAAGGTATATATATTTATCCCAAAGACAAAACAATGATATAAAAGAATGACTGAATTAACTTACCCTTTCTTTACTAGCTACAGCAGATATGGGATCAGGATCCACTTCTGTTGGACCATTTCCACCGACAAAATGTAGACTACAAACGTAGCTGTCTTTCATGCACACGAACGAGTCACCTCGAAGACATGACCTTATCCACCTTTGCCTTCTCTCCTTTTGTCTAACTGCCCCCTGAAAATGGAAAAACTTGACCGGGTCGCCGTTAGCGTTTCTTACCTAGGGGTTGAGGTATCGTGAATCGTTTTTGCAGGTGCCATAAGCACGTCTCTTTGTCGTAACCATTATGTTTAGGTATACACTAACTAAACAACTGCAATCGTACACGTTCATAGAGTTGAAATCGGTGTTATTTTGGGGAATCAAGGCTTCCTCACGCTCTATAGCGATTCGTGGGCACTAATCTCTTGTCAGACGGGAATTTAATTGAAAATCTACGTACTAAACATCCCGAAAATACCTGATCAGATACATCATTGTACGCAGAACTAGTTCGATTATTCCACGATTATTTCGACGCAATCCTTGTTTCATCAATCTTCGAGTCATCTCTCTGAATTTCTATCAAAGGATTTGAACATTCTTTCCACCCGTTGCGTCTACTGTCTCATTTTAAGAGCTAGTAAACAGTATCTGCTAGCTAGGCGAGCTACATGACCTCGTTTCGATTTGGGTTCAGTGGACGCACGCATCAATCTGTCATTCATAACTGCAAAAACTTCAGGTGATCGGGTGTCGCATCGGATGATCATTTTGACAAACAACTTGTCGAGGCGAAATCCATGTCTCTGAGCTGAATTATTCAAGAATCTTTTGAAACGGTGGGTGACATTCATTTTTCGTATCTGTTGTAAATTTAATTTCTAGTATTCTTCAGCCAAATCTTGATCCTGAAGACTCAAATGTGTCATTTAAGACCAAAGTTCTTCATTTCTTTGTACTGTTTACTTACTGTCAAGTCACGAAATCAAATTTATTTAATTTGACTAATCTCGGCCTACGACAAAATGTTAAAGTCCACTAAATCCCTGTTATGATATCAGCGCACAGCTGTACTTACTTATTATCATGGAATGTATCTAAAGCTACTGAATTCGAGCAGACTTCATTGTTATTCCAGAAGATCACAGTGGAATTCTACTCTTTGTGGTTTGACAATCATAATTTGATCTCTATAAAGTCTTTCTCGCCGAAAAGAACAAACCAGATGAGAAGAAACTGTATAAACTATGTTGAGGTCCAGGTGTAGACAGGATTTACTTGTTAAAAAACATTTGATCGTGATAAACTCTCAACAGAGCTAAAGCTTCGAGCCATGATGACCTTCGTTGACTAGTTACTCTCCAAATACGATTTCTAATGATGCGTGCGACACTCTGTAACTCCTATTTCGTACCTATGGAGTGTCCTGCTAACAGTTCTCAAAAGTACAAGTTATGATAAATATGGTAGTAAGAGAACGAAATTTTGGTTACGGTCCACTTATCTGTCCTGTTCAGACGCCCCTTCAGTGATCCAATGCATTCGAAACAAGAGAAGGGAATTTTCCCTTTTCGATTGGTTTCGCTTTTCACTGTTTGAGACTCCTGGAATCGAGAAAACTATCACCCAAACTACCGAAATATCCGAAAGCTAATAATTTATGGAGATTCTAGATAATACGAGAGTTTGAATTTAAAACGATAAAAAGTATTAAATTAGTGGAAGAAAGGTGCCGGGAAGTGCTTACCGAAGGGTCCCTACTGTAAGCTTTAAAATACTACAGTAAGGGGACAAAGGTTTCGATACGGTCACCCCATCTATCATTCGAGACAGAAGGGAATCATCCTTTCAAATACTTCCATTTTGGGCTTGCTTTGCCATCCACACTGTTATTCTTGTCATAAGCACTTAGAACAATAAAAACAGCGATAATTATAGATCAAAAGAATTTGATATTCTATTGTTATAGAAACATGAAATTCGAAAACGGATCAACAAGAAACCTTAAAATAATATTCGTTATCTTAAGTTCACATTATGAGCCCTTTCTTGTATTCGAGGCCCACAACTTACCAAAATCACGCCAAAACAGATCAAATTAAGAGACAGCGGAAGCTGGCTAATTTTAAAACTTATTAGTAAAAAATTTAAATCAGTTAAGTAGAAATCATTCAAAACGTACATGTACATAAAGACAGTGACGTTCTCGAAAAACTCAAGAAACATTAAGGATTTTCGCCATTAGTTATCGCCAGTAGATTGGCAGAGAAATAAGGCCCGGACATGGACGACATTGAATTGCACTTGAATAGTTCAACTCTTTTAGCTCTTGAGTTAAAATAATGGGTAAAGTGATTAAGTTATTTTCTCTAGTTTCGACGCAACCTTTGTTTCATCAATATTCGAGTCATCTTCCTGAATTTCGATCTCGACAACTGGATGTTACATCGAGCTACGTCAAAAGATTTGGAGATTCTTTCATGCTGCGTCTACAGCTAGAAATCATTAACGGCTAGCCAGGCGAGCGATACGACCTCGTTTCAGTCGGGGCTCAGTGCACGCACTTATCGATCTGTCATTCATAACAATACTTGGAAAAACTTAAGGGGATTGGGTGTCCCATCGGATGATCATTTGAACAATCAACTTGTTCCCGCGAAATCCATATCTCTGTGCTGAATTATTCAAGAATCTCTTGAAAC